TTTCGAGACTTTCTACGTAATCCTCGACTGAAGTATCGTGATCAACAAACCTTTTCTCGTTCATGTTTTTAAGCTTCAACACTTGCGAAAGATTTCTTTAACAAAGTGAAATGCTGCGAGCTGAATGAAAATCACCTTGTTACGGCTCACACGTCAAAAAACATGATACGCAGCACCTGATTGGACGTATCGTTTTCCTCACACGTGGAAAAAGCAATACGCGCCATTTGATTGGCTGTCGGGTTCTTAGACCAGCTTGTGAACCAAATTTATTTCGCGCCTTTTCAATGGGTAAATCTCAGTACATATATAATAAATTTACTATCGGCATTATCGTGCGCCAAGAAAATCGATCGTGATTCGAAGGTCTCCGAAAGCCCTCGTAAAATCGACTCTATCCATCAAAACGATAGCACTGTAGCTACTCGCGCATGCGCAGTAGCTACAAAAATGCAATCTCAAAAAAACCTCCCTTATTAATTGCACAGGTCACCCAATAATGCACAGAACACCCAACACAAATTAGGGGTTGCGTTCTCGTACCTCGAACGCAATAATAAGCTAACCAGACTGTATAATATAGGCGAACCTCTATTAAGCCACCAACCGTTCTTTAAGCAGCCATTTGTCCCATTCCCAAGGTATATAGCTTAAGTAATGATCCGCGTAAGGTGGATAGCAATTTCTTTTGTTATGCGGCAACAGTGCTTTCCCCACATAGGAATGTTGTCATTTTTACACAGAGAATGCATAAACCTACATGAAGGCCGTTTACGCAATAAAATGCATTTACACTCCACTTTGAAAGGGTGTTTTTTTGTGTTAAAAGATTTTGACCAATCACAAGAGTTGAAAACAATAGCCAAGAAAAGTTTACAATTTTACATGTTCCCCACATAGGATTTCTTTGTTATTCAAACTGAGACCAGATTTTGTTATAAGGAAGATGTTTGGAAAGTAAGGATGAATATATGTACTACTTTATGAAGTTTTGTTAACTTTTGCTGTTTAAGCCAATCAGAAGTAAGTACAGACAATAGAAAAGTTAGCACCTTTTTTGCATTCCAACATGTTCGTTGCCGTTGTTGCTATCGTTCTTATCTGGACCGTTTCTTACTAATATTGCTGTTGCATTGACAGTGCATATTCTTAGCCCATAAACCAGACAGAGAAACGGCATTTAGAGAGGCAAAAGAAGGAAAAATCTTATTAACTTTTCATGTCGCAGTCTAAACATTATTCTTGACAAAACGTCCTTGCAGTATAGCCTTTTCAAGAGACTTCAAGGTACATTAGCCCTTTTTGGGGCTCCTGCCAGATAATAGAAATGAAAATATTAAATATCGGGGTTTAAATTTTTCTGCAGTTTAAAATCTTTCTAACAAACTTAATTTTTTCTTTGTCTCAGATATGTATGGTTCAATTTTATGGTGGGTTTTACAAAGTAGAGATTAACTCCAACTACCTCTTCAAAGTTAAAAGAAAAGAATAAAATAAACAGGAAATAATTGGATAAGAAAGTTTCACGGCAAATTCTACTGGCATATACTGCCCAGTATTAAATGGCTTGGTGACACTTAATATGCTTTGCAAAAAACTCTCCAAATTATGCTGTTGTTGTCACTGTTTTTTTCCCCTTTGCTTTTTTTTTGTTTTTGCTTTGTTTTTGGCGTGGTTTTTGTTTCAGGACCTTTCACTTCAGTCTAAACAGTTGCACTATATTCACAAGCCACAAAACTGAAAAGATGTGCAAACCTAACCTGGTAGAAGGACTTGAGGGTGCATCATGCAAAGACTCCTGTGCACTGGAAGTGATTGGCACAGCCAAACCAGCCAAAGCTCGCCGCAAGTCGTTTAAATTTGACAATGGTTGTCCTTTCTCTCCTGGAGAATGAAATAAATAAAACAATATATAACATGGTTAAAAACCCCAACTGACGGATTGGGCCAACCTGTTGGCCTACTTTACAACCTACAGCCAAGGAGTCGAACGAAACAACTAGTGGTCAGAGTTTTCCAATAAGAGAGAGTTGACCTAATACACTATATGGTTACCACACTTAGTTTGCCATTATTCCTTTCTCAAGGGTAGAAAACATTTCCTTTCAAAGACTTTTTAGACCCTGAAGTCCTATTAATAGTTACACTGTATATATACAATAATTATTATAAAACTGTATGTAGGACTGATTAAAGATTTTCTGCATATTTAACAGACAGAACAGTTTTAAAAAAAGAGACTACCAAGATGCCAAAAAAAACGAATTATCAGTGACAGGAAACAGAAAAGCACTTTTCAATGAAAATGACAATGGAATATTATATATTACTATTTCAAATACTTCTCCTTTGTTTGGAATTCAAAATAACATTATATTTTATATTACTTGTCACAGTTCTATTTTCAGAATCAGGGGAGAAGAATGATGATCTTTTTAGTTTTCTCTCCCTTTCACTCAATATTATAATATCCATGCCCTTTCTTACTGCATCAAGGATACATTACAATAATATTTCACTGTTGAAACTGATGATGTCGTGCCCGAATCTCTTTATGAAAAAATGATCTGTAGTGAACATTTCAAGTGGGTATACATCTCTAGTTGGATCAAAGAGGAGTCCGGAGTTTTTGACACTTCAGTGCACACACATACTCAAATTGACCTTCTTCTGACATTTTCATAGACATTGAAGTTTTTTTGTAAATAATAGTAGACACTGGTGTCCTTTAATTTTGAAGTATGTTTAACAACATGTTTCTTTACATTGGAAAAAATAAAAGTGGGCTCCCATGAATTTTCAGCGAACCAAAAAATTGTTACACATGGTTTCCCATGATCTCTCGGCACAGAACCGAAAAATTGTTATCCATGGGATTTGAAATCCGAGGGCTTGATGGTAGTCAGGATCGTATTTGTGGACTTTAATAAAACATTTGATTCCACTTCTCATTCTGTGCTGCTTCAAAAGTTGCATGGATCAATGATTATTTAACTGATCGTCATCAAGTCACCATTGTTAATGGCTGTTGTTCTAGCTTGAGTAAAGTTACATTTAGTGTCCCTCAAGGATCTGTGCTTGGTCCCACTTTATTTTCTCTCTTCTGTAATGATTTGCCAGACATTGCCAGTGACTGTGAAGGTGAACTGCATATGTATGCTTGCTATACCACCATATACGTAACTGGCTCAAATCCTGACATGGCAGCTGCCTCACTTAATTTCATTTTGAATAATGTCACTAACTGGTGCCACAACAATCTTTTAACAATGGCTTTTTCGTTATGTTTTAGCCCCTTATAGCCAGACAGTGACCAGAAAACTGCTCAACTAGCTTCAAAATGCATTTTTCAGCCCCCGCGCAAATGGGTTAAAGCTAATTAAAGGTATTTCATACAATTGACTCAAGGTGTGAGATAAAGTTAGCATGGTATGACTCCTGATTACAGGACTTTGAAGTCACCTATAAACTGCATGTGGTTTAAGACCGGTCAGGGTTTTTATCATCCTTTCTTTGGCAGGAAAAATCAAGAAAGGCTAGAAAATTACCATTTTTCACACTTACGATATCCATTTTCCTTTTGTTCCTTACATTTAAAACTCTGTCTTCTTCTTTGTTTGAGTTCCAATGATGAAATCGATATTTCCGATGCAAATCAACGGAAATTGATTAAAAATATATTCTAACTATAATTACAAAAATTGATAAAATCAATAAAAATCAATAATCACAAAAACCTCCGCTATTGATTTTTATCTATATTAATCGATTAATTAGTATCAAAAAAACCAAAATTTTCGATTATGATAAATTTTATTGAGTATCGAAATTATGGATTTGTAACGTGTCGTGCTGCATCAAACTAGAAGCCTTGGTCACAACACTAACAACCATGTGCACATCTGACTTCTTCTACAAGTGCACTTTAGAGAGCAGCGGGCGATTTGTGACGGTAAATTGATAATAAAATAATCAGTTGTCATTTACCTTAAGGTGTTTCCTGAGTCTTTATGAGTCGATTTGGAAGGGTTTGAATCCGATCAGAGACGGTCAACATTGCTGGTATCAAATGCATTTGCTTGTCTGACACATCATAAATAAGACACTCAAGTTTCGTCTCACGTTTATTTCTAATGTTGTCATTGTTTTCTATTAACTCTTGATCTCCTTGGGAGATGATCTCTATGGGCGGCCATTACCACCAAAAATAAAAGTATGTCAAATAGCACAGACAAAACGTCAATGGTCTAGTGATAAATTACGAAATGGTTCAAATAAAAGAGAAATGGTCATTCTTAAAATAAAATAGTCTGGTTGTTTGTGTGAAATGGTTCACCAAAACTACAAACGTTTTGGTCAGATGAGAAACTGTCCACCGGTAGATGTTAAAACGATACTGCCAACAAGAATTGGTTTGTTTAAATTATAATCCATCAATATACCATGTGCGAAATGATCAAGCTTGATAACGAACAGTTGGCTGCTCTGTTGCGTAATCTAGATGGTTTGAGTAAACTAAGAATTCACGCAAACACTTACAATTACTTTAACTCATAAGCCAATGGTTCAAAGTAACATCGAATGATTGAATCGAGAGGCAAATGGTTTATGGAATAGACAAAAGGTTCAATGTAATGTCGAATGATTTAATCAAGACTGAAGTGGAGGTACGGCGAAACAATTAGTGCTGCGTGAAATAAAATGGTTTCGCATGACATACAATAGTTGGTGCCAAAATGACCAAAAATACAAGAGTGAAATAGACAAGTCAAGAATGGAGTTGTCTAGACCACCTGGGGTCTGACATAATGTTCTTTATCCATAAATGGAGCAGAAGGATGTTGACAATACTTCCACCCGGCTATGCCCAGACCCCGATTCGTCTCATTCATGATTTCATGTGTTTAATTTCAAAACAAGCTGCAAATCTGGTAAGCTGTGCCGTCAATTTCCTGAATGAATGTCCTTTCTTGTCTTTCTTGCACCTACACAGACTACCCTTCAGGAAAATCTTAAAGACGATGTGTTTTGTGGGTCGATTTTGCTGTTTTAAAATATATTCTTTCCATTAGTTAGTGACAAGGGTATTAAGTTTTCAGTATGATTATTTTAACACGGCCTCCATGAAAAGCAGTTTTAATTTTTTATATTTTGTCACTATTTTTGTTTGTAGTAGGAAGATAGTCAGTTAGTTTTGTAATATAATATTAAATACTGATGGAAATACCATGTCCAAATAAAGTTATCTATCTATTTTTCTGAGGGCTGGTCGTTCAATTGCTGTGAAGGGAAGGGGCGGTGGCCATTTTGAGAAAGCTGAGAATATTTTCAAACCCTTCCCTCCTAAATTCATCCTAGCGTTTTACAAATGACCCCACCTCATTTTCTCTTGCCCCCCATAAATTGTAAATTTTGTGAATGTGACTCCCTCCTCCCCCGCATATTCTACCTATAAAAGTACTGAAGTTCACTGCGTACTTCATCTAAAGTCGTGTGTATGAGATCGGTGTTTACAATGTACGGCTGTTACATTCAATTCACACTCGTCTATACTCTGCACTAATATACTTTCATGAAATTTATCAAAATAACCCCCCCCTTCCATGTTATGCTCCCTTATTTAAAAATAAACCCCCAAAACGAATCAATATTTTGAAACAAAAAATGTGTAGACCAACAACAGATACACAATTATCTGACCTCAACCTTTTATTTTCCCTATATGCTTACAGGGCCATAGCATGGGGAGGGGCAGGGAGGGACTTGCCCCCTCCGCCCCTGTTTTTTCCCCCAAAAAGTCAAAACATGCACAAATTAAAGTTGAAATTAATCTCCCAGAGCATTGAAACAATGATGTCTCTGCAGCTGGGCGAAACATTTTCTGGTTTTAAGATAGAGACCAGTCCAATGGGTCCCCCCTTTTTTAAATTGAACTTTGGCAACAAAAACGTTCCTATATACTGTATGGCCCATAAATAAAGACCATTACGTCGACCCCACATGAACTAGACAACTCCGGCCAGTCTTGACTTGTCCATTTCACTCTTGTATTTTTGGTGGTTTCGGCGCCATAGTCTGGCAGCATTTGTACTCCTGGGAAAAGTTTGTGCTGAAAGCAAGCAACTGGTCTAGAAGTATTAAGGAGACCTCAAATAACAAGAAAAGTCTTGTTGCCAGTTTTATAACCCACACCGAGGCTTTTCAGGGGGGGTTAAAAAGTTAGCTTAACAGACTACGCATGAAAACGAGGTTGGGGAATAAAATGCCTTAAAACTTTACAAACTGTAGATAAAATGACACCAAAATAACAGGAGATGTAAAACTCGATGTTGTCAGTTTTTTCCATAGCCAATCAGACACTTCACTAGTCAAGTGACGAAGCTAGCATGAAAACAAGGTTGAGAAATAAAACTTCTTATACCTTTATTAACTGTGGATAAAACGAAACCAAAATAATGGGAGACATACAACTCAATGTTTCCAGTGTTAGCCTTTAAGCCAATGGGATATGACACTAGTCACGTGACGAATCTAACATGAAAACAAGGCTGCGAAATAAAGGTTCTTTTATAGCTCTTTTAACTGCGAATAAACCAAAACCGAAATAACGGGGATATAATACGCAATGTTGTGAGTGTTTGCCTAAGCTAGTGGGACGCTGCCACTAGTCACGTCACAAAGCTAACATGAAAGCGAGACTGAGCAATAAACGTATTATAATGCTATCAACTGTGGATAAAACGAAACCAAAATGACAGGAAATATGAACCTCAATGACCTCAGTTTTGGCTTTAGGCAAACACTGACTTGCTAGTCGCTGAATTAGGTATTCTCTGGGATATTAGTATACGTGGCCAAAGTAATACAGAAATGTGCTGGTTTGTAAAATTTTTGACTGGTCCTTTAATGTGGATTAAGATACTGTGTTTGCATCCCGCATCCAATGTTTTACAGATAAGAGATCAATGTTTCAGCTGTGGTGTACAAGAAATTTTGTGACCAGACCAGGATATGTGACGCTCTTGTTTTAACCTATCTTTAAGAGTGACGAAAAGTTAACAGCTTAACTCCTGTAACTGTGAAATGGTCAACTAAGTAAAATGCCCATACAGAAATGTTTCAGTGTGTCCAACACGAATTTTGCTTTGCTTTCACTAATTATCTTCCCATGAAACTTAGTCATAAAAATCTTCCTCTTCATCTTCATGGTCATCATCGTTACCATCACCATCACCACCGTCATCATCATCATCATCACCACCATCACTGTCATGCATATTTTCACAAAATTTCCCACTGTCTGAACAACTACATAAATCGGTGCAATTTAGCCCAGCTATTCTACATTGGCAGCGTTTTGTTGAACATTTCTCCTTGGCACATTTGCACTTTACTAGGTAGGTAGCCTATTGTGTCTGGAGTGGGTGTGGTATACAGGCACCCATCCATTTTCAACCGCCGTCCAGCCAAAGTTTTCTGGGGATGGAAGGATGGGATTTGCGAATTTGATAGTGAACTCTTAAGATTGCCTGACATAGTGCAGCTTGGGTTGGGGGTAGCCTTTCTGACTGCGCTTGCTTCTTTCGAAAAAACCACCATCTCAGCTCTTTCACCGTACAAATATATGCCCTTGGTACATACAGCTGCCACACAAACTTCTCAATTAAGACCATCGTCTCTCTGCTGGGAATCGCACTTATTCCAAGAGCTGAAAAGCCACTGATGACTTCTTAGTCAGCTTCTATGAAAGTTTTCCAGCAGCATGCCTTTCACTCTCCCGACAAAGATGTTTCTGTCTTGTCTGTTAGATGTTACCCACATCTCTGCAAAAACACCTCATTTGTCACAGGCACAAGCCAGAATCATCGCGAGATCAAGCTTGAAACAATATTTTCATGTTCTTGGCCCTGCAAAAGCAGCAGCCTTTCCTGCCCTTCATACTTTACGTGGATCTGGCAACGCAGGCTGCATTTCTGGAAAAGGAAAGGTATCCGGCTGGAAAAATTTCATTATTTTTCTCGCCTCCTCCCAAACCGTCCCCCGCCCCCTAAGTAGATTTGATACTCTTCCCCAGGTTAGACTCGGTACGACTGAAAATCAAGATGGCTGCCATTAACGGTAAGACGCGCTCGATCTCGACGATCACACGGAAAAATAGGGGACTGTGAACAGTCTACAAGGGCATATATTTGTACGGTGAAAGAGCTGAGATGGTGGTTTTTTCGAAAGAAGCAAGCGCAGTCAGAAAGGCTACCCCCAACCCAAGCTGCACTACATCAGGCAATCTTAAGAGTTCACTATCAAATTCGCAAATCCCATCCTTCCATCCCCAGAAAACTTTGGCTGGACGGCGGATGAAAATGGATGGGTGCCTGTATACCACACCCACTCCAGACACAATAGGCTACCTACCTAGTAAAGTGCAAATGTGCCAAGGAGAAATGTTCAACAAAACGCTGCCAATGTAGAATAGCTGGGCTAAATTGCACCGATTTATGTAGTTGTTCAGACAGTGGGAAATTTTGTGAAAATATGCATGACAGTGATGGTGGTGATGATGATGATGATGATGGTGGTGATGGTGATGGTAACGATGATGACCATGAAGATGAAGAGGAAGATTTTTATGACTAAGTTTCATGGGAAGATAATTAGTGAAAGCAAAGCAAAATTCGTGTTGGACACACTGAAACATTTCTGTATGGGCATTTTCCTTAGTTGACCATTTCACAGTTACAGGAGTTAAGCTGTTAACTTTTCATCACTCTTAAAGATAGGTTAAAACAAGAGCATCACATATCCTGGTCTGGTCACAAAATTTCTTGTACACCACAGCTGAAACATTGATCTCTTATCTGTAAAACACTGGATGCGGGACGCAAACACAGTATCTTAATCCACATTAAAGGACCAGTCAAAAATTTTACAAACCAGCACATTTCTGTATTACTTTGGCCACGCATACTAATATCCCAGAGAATACCTAATTCAGCGACTAGCAAGTCAATGTTTGCCTAAAGCCAAAACTGAGGTCATTGAGGTTCATATTTCCTGTCATTTTGGTTTCGTTTTATCCACAGTTGATAGCATTATAATACGTTTATTGCTCAGTCTCGCTTTCATGTTAGCTTTGTGACATGACTAGTGGCAGCGTCCCACTAGCTTAGGCAAACACTCACAACATTGCGTTTTATATCCCAGTTATTTTGCTTTTGGTTTATTCGCAGTTAAAAGAGCTATAAAAGAACCTTTATTTCGCAGCCTTGTTTTCATGTTAGATTCGTCACGTGACTAGTGTCATATCCCATTGGCTTAAAGGCTAACACTGGAAACATAGAGTTTTAGGTCTCCCATTATTTTTGTTTCGTTTTATCCACAGTTAATAAAGGTATAAGGAGTTTTATTTCTTGGCCTCGTTTTCATGGTAGCTTTGTCACATGACTAGTGAAGTGTCCCATTGGCTATGGAAAAAACTGACAACATCGAGTTTTACATCTCCTGTTATTTTGGTGTCATTTTATCCACAGTTTGTAAAGTCTTAAGGCATTTTATTCCCCAACCTCGTTTTCATGCATAGTCTGTTAAGCTAATCTTTAACCCCCCAAGATTTTTCTTGTTATTTGGAATCTCCTTAATACTTCTAGACCAGTCGCTTGCTTTCAGCATGAAATTCCCATGGGAGCTATATTTCTTACATATGCTCCTGGACTACCAACTATTGTATGTCATGCGAAACCATTTTATTTCACGCAGCACTGGCACTATTGTTGGTTTTCACATGACGTCACTAAAATTCAAACTACAAAACTATCCATCCTACTGAGATTTTTCTTTCATGGTGTATTAGAGCAGCTGAAAACTAATTTTCAAACAAATCTTCGCTTCAAAAGGTTTCTTGGTTTTGTAATAGAGTACGCTTGAATTTCTAAGCTATTGTGTGACGCAGCATTTACATGACGGCCGAGAGAGCTGTCATTTAGGTCAAAAAAGTGACTTTTTTCGAGGAATTTTGCTATCTAAACAGTTCAAGTATTAGAAAAAGTATTACTTTCATGTTTATGAGTTCCTCTAGGAGTAAATTCATGCTTTTGTAGCAAAACTCGGTAACAGATGTTTCTGTTGGTTTCCGTCCGCCATGTTGGAGCTCATCTGGATGAGCTCCAGCATGGCGTCTCCATACAAAGCTCTGTAAATTTGGGTAAAACATTTCCTTGGATATCTCGTATACGAATTATTCCTTCGACCCAAATCTTGGTGAGGGTCTTTGTATATTTACCTCCTTTCATTTCCCAGATTCTGGACTTTATCTACCGAATGGTTTTGATTTTTATTTTGATCTATTTTGAATGGCATGACACTGAAAACCAGCAATTTGTTTTGTCGTAGCTCCACTTCAGTCTCGAGGGGGGAGGTACATAATAGGGAGGAGGGAGAAATGGCCCGAAAAAGAAGGGAGGAGGGAGAAATCGGGGCAAAAATGTACGGTGGAGGGAGAAAATGAAATGCTGGGAGTAGGGAGATTACAATGAGAAGGTAATTTTATGGCTTTTCTTTAACTTGCGTCATGACAAGGCAGGATGGGGGGACAGAGAAAACGGCGTACACTACAATCCCCTTAGGTCTCCTGGGACTCCCTTGGTCGGACTTAACCAAGAAAGCATGGGATCAAACTTTGACGCATCTCAGGTTACCATGTTTAAAACTTGGTGACAACAGTCACAACACACAACTCCTGCACTTAGTTGTAAAGGAAGTTCTCTGTCCTTCAGAGCTTCGCCCTAACTAATAGCTGGTCCTTAAAGGATTTTCCCTTGCAATATGATATTCCTTAAAGATTTCTCTGAACCGTCGTTGGTTTTGTATCAGGTGGATTTTCCCATAGTATTTTCTTCAGTCTAAGCAAAGCCGTTATTTTGTAACAAATGGTAGTGGTTTTTTACGTGCAGATTTGTTGCTTTGTTGAAGGGCTGTTTTCCTGGTGGCGAATTTTAACTCAGAGAGGTACTTTCTCACAATAGGGACCGGGTAGCCTCTTTTTACCTGGCGATTTTCGAAATCTTTGATAGTTTCCTCAAAAGTGGTTTGAGCATGAAAGGAACAGACCTTAGACGAATGAGCGCTTCTCCTTTAATGAAGCATTTCTTCACGCCTGGTGGTTGCCACGAGTATGTGAAAGGCTTCTGTATGTTGGCTCATGGGCTCCTGGTTGGTTTATGTGTTTGCACATCTAGGATTGGTTCCTTGTTGAATCTAATCCCTTTGAACACTTTTGTGTCCGAGAAAGTGATCTCTGTTTCTCACATCTTAGCCGTGAATTTGATAGTACTTGCCTTTTCCACAATTTTAGCTCTTTATTTTGTCTAGGTTCCATAGGGAAAACACATCGTCAATATAATAGCGGTTCAATTAGCCTGGGTGCCGAGAAACTTTTTATGTGCGGCTTCTGGTTTGGTAAAGCTGTTTAAAGTGACCCACGTGAAAAGCTTTTTTTCTTGCGGCTTCGCCTCTAGTGACCTCTGCCTTTGGCCAAAGAACTGTTGGCCTGCAGCGACACCGAAGCATCCCGCCGCACCCGAGAAAAATCCTCTGGTGACTAGGGTGCGGTTCAATACAACTCTGTCTCAATATCTGGTCTTCTATTCTGGCCATTACGATGTTAGCAAAAGCAACGGCCATGTTTATTCCCATGGCTGTTCCATGGGTCTGTAGGTACTTGCCACCACAAAATTGGAATGAGATTTCGTTATATAAGATAAAGTATTTCTCTTAGATACCTGGTAGGTGCCCTTGGGGTTGTGGGGGGTATTCCTGGGAATTTTTGGTGGGCGTGAGCCGACCGGTTCTTAAAATCCTGACCCTATTTCACACTGAAAAAACATTATTTCCCACACCCGTTTCAGACCCGTCTCTTAAATCCAAGCCCATTTTCAGACCTGGTATAGGTAGAATTTAGACTAGAGCTCAAACGAGATTTCTTAAAATCCATTTCGAATTCGCTTATTACTCTTTCTTTCTGAATCATTTGGAGTTGAAACGACAAATACATCTACATCTACATTTATTAAGTTGGTAAAATCTGTTACAGACATCGCACCAACCATTAAAAGAAACGATCATAAAATATATACAATGCTTGGATAAAAAATTAACAAATAAGATCTGATAATACATATACAAAAATAAGTGAATCATACTATAGGGCAAAAAGTATGAAAGTAAAAAACGTCTGGTAATTCGTAGCTAGGTAGGGGAGTAATTATTTGAGTTACAGACAGCCAAGGAGTTTGACTCAACTATCAACCCGTGAGTAGCTTTAGCATAGCCTTATGGTCCATACGTTCATACACTCCCCACTGTTACACCCCCGTAGTTTCCTCGAAAACCATACCCAATTCCCAGTGGAGGATCCCTGATTTTTACGCCCAAAATTTTTTTTTTGGAGACAGACTTCCTACCCTGGGTACCAGAGGTTTTTCTCGCGTGCGGCGGGAATTTTCGGTGTTGGCCGAAGGCCGAAGCCACGAGCGGCGAAGCCGCGAGAAAAACCTCTGGCACGGAGCGGTGCTTTTTACCGTCCCCGTTGACCTTTGAGCTTTTTTATCGGATTACATTTACACCAATCAGACTGAAAGTCTCCGACTGTGATCATGTGGGCCGGCACGTGAAGAAATGTCCAAAGACCCACATTATCCTTAGAAAGACAAGTTCGAGCTTAAAATTCATTGCTTTAAGAGCAATCATGACTGCGTCAAATCGAAGTTCTCCATAATTGATGTACCTTCAGTTTAAGCTGCAATCCATTCTTCGAGATTTGGATCTGAAAATCACTATCCGGGAGAATTTAACATTCTGCTAAAAACGCTAATGAGTTGGGCCCAGCGTGACAAAACATTGCAGAAAACCGTCACTTTCACGGACAAAAGAAAATCGCTTATAATATTCAGATCCAGGAGGCACTTTGGAGAAATTAAACAACCTAAAACCCTCATTTAGCCGCATTGAAGAGCTTAACATTTCAAAAGAGGTCAAAGAAAATGCTCTTGCATCAGAGGGCAAATCATATGCCGACCAGACACAATAACCGCAGAAAATCAATATGCGTGTCACGACCTCCCAGTATGAAACAATCGATAAAAATCAAATTTGCTCAGTTGAAACGTTTTTCTCCAGAGCATAATCTACCCATCACGGAAAAAAATTCATTGGAACAAGCAGCATTTTGGCATGAGGTAAAAGTCGTGTGTTGCCTTCTGACCCCTCTTTTATACTAAGAATACATGTTTTGTTTTTATATTCCTAATCCATCAATACCAACTATTTCAAAACATGTTGTAATCGTCTGAAATAGGAAATTAATAAAGCTTAAACCTGCTGCAAAAGCTGAATTGGTGATAATAGCTTAATTGCGTTGAATAAAATTAAATACTCCACTTGTTTGCTCATAGCTTTTGACTTGTCTACACTGTCAAACCCTTCTAGTACATTGCTTGTCATGGTCTTTCAAAACTTTCCAAAGCTGCCATCACAACACTTCTGGCGAGTACAACAACAGCAAAGTTGGAAATATTCTTTCACGTGCTGGTCTATTCTTGTCAACCAATTGTAGCGTCTGTTAGATTCAAAGTCCCTCAGGTGGTCGTTAGTAGCCAATCAGCAGTCTTGTCCAAAATCTGGACCAACTGATTTAACCGTGCTAACGATTGGATCGGCGCCATCAAAGCAATAGCGCTCTGCTCCAGAGGCTTTTTGCGTGGGTCACTGTAAAGACTTGACAGAAACCGGAAACCGAGCTAGAAAAGTCTCTGGCACCCAGGGTACAGACCCCCCCCCCCCCTTCCCTTATCTAAGGGTCTAGATGACCGGCCCCCCCTTATCTAAAGGACTGGATCTGGCACTGATTCCAGACCAAAATGGGCAAAATCTATACCCGTTTAAGACTGAAAAGGCACAAAAACTCTACCCTTTGAGGCGGCCAGGGTTCTCAATAGATTTTTAAGTAGGAGGTGATCACTGATAAAGTAGGAGGCTCTTCAGCAAAGCCAGAGGTGTCAAAACAAAGCAAAGAAAAGCGACTTAAACACAAAGTAAGCGGCTATAAATCCCAAAGTAAGCGGCGATCAATCGCCGGGTGCCGCCTTCTATTGAGAACCCTGGGCGGCACATACCTATATGGCTTATATTGCTGGTTTTCAGTGTCACGCCATTCAAAATAGATCAAAATAAAAATCAAAACCGTTCAATAGATAAAGTCCAGAATCTGGGAAATGAAAGGAGGTACATATACCAAGACCCCCGCCAAGATTCAGGTCAGAGGAATATTTCGTATACGAGATATCCGAAGAAAAGTTTTACCCAAACTTATAGAGATTTGTATGGAGACGCTATGCTGGTGCTCAACCGGAAGAGCTCCGACATGGCGGACGGAAACCAACAGAAACATCTGTTACCGAGTTTTGCTACAAAAGCGGGAATTTATTCTTCGAGAAACTCATAGCAAAATTTCCTGAAATAAGTCATTTTTTTAACCTACATGGCAGCTCTCTTGGCCGTCGTGTAAATGCCGCATCACGCAAAAGCTTAGAAATTCAAGCGTACTCTATCACAAAACCAAGAACCCTTTTGAAGTGAAAATTTGTATGAAAATTAGTTTTCAGCTGCTCTAATGCATCGTGAAAGTAAAATCTCGGTAGGATCGATAGTTTTTTAGTTTGAATTTTAGTGACGTCATGTGAAAGCCAACAATAAGGGAGAACTCCCCCGGGGGTGGGTGTATGGGCTTTCCCTCCATAAAATCTTCGTATGCATACATATGGTGGTTAGGCCTTCTTCGTGTAGTACAAGCTCTGAAGGTCATTAGACTTCCTTTACCACTAAGTGCAGGAGTTATGTGTTGCCCGCCATTAATTTTTAAACCAAGTTTAGGGAGGAGGGAGAAATTGCCCCAAAAAGTAGGGAGGAGGGAGATTTACCGTCCTGTACCTCCCCCCTCAGTCTCGATAAATCATTCGGCATTACATTAACCCATTTGCGTATGCCTTAATTAAACCATTTGTTTCTCGATCCAATCGTACAACATTACATTGAACTATTTGCGTATTCCATAAACCATTTGTCCCTCGATTCAATCATTCGGCATTACATTAACCCATTTGCGTATGCCTTAATTAAACCATTTGTTTCTCGATTCAATCGTACAACATTACATTGAACTATTTGCGTATTCCATAAACCATTTGTCCCTCGATTCCATCATTTGGCATTACATTAACCCATTTGCGTATGCCTTAATTAAACCTTTTGTTTCTCGATTCAATCATTCGACATTACATTGAACTATTTGCTTATTCCATAAACCATTTGTCTCTCGATTCAATGTGGGGCAGGAACGCGTGACGAACCAGTAAGAACGTCTGCGTAGGAGGCTAGCAATATTCGAGCACTACATTGAGTTTAAAACAAAACCTCTTTGGATCACTACCTCGGGCTACAACTAACCTTGTGTTCCTAAAAGTTTGTTGCTCAAATCAACTCTGTTAAGAGCGCTCAGTTTGGACGCCAGGAAATCCCTTTTTTTTTCTGAGAGCTTGTTGAGGTGTTCCAAAGCCTCAAAAAGTTCGAATCCTTTTTTGATGCTATCCAATCTGCCTCTAGGAAGAACATCTCCACACAGGAATTTAAGCTCCTCCAGTTCGTTAGCTGTCAAACTGTTGGACAGCTCCAATAACAGCGATCTAAAAAGACCATAGTTACTCCGACCCACACCTCTCGGGGGATCGCTAGAAACCCTCAACATGTTGGCGCAAGGAAAGCACTAGGTAACATCGACCTAAACCAGATGAGTCATCGATATGTCAGCGGCGTCTTCCAAAATGACGGTAGGTACTTCATATATGATTCATATAGTGTATCGATATATAGATTCTTATACTGCACTCTTCCTTCTTCTAGTGTACCGAGGTACTTAGCCTACTTAGGTACTTGGCTTCCTTGGCTTACTTAAATGGCTTGGCTTACTTAGGTACTTGGCTTGCTTCAGTGTCTTGGCCTACTTGAGTGTCTTGGCCTACTTCAGTTACTTGGCGTACTTGAGGTACTTGGCTTACTTTTTGTGTCTTGGCCTACTTCAGTACCTTGGCGTGCTTTAGGTACATGGCTTACTTAAATGTCTTGGCCTGCTTGAGTGTCTTGGCTTACTTTTGTGTCTTGGCCTACTTCATTGACTTGGCGTGCTTGAGTGTCTTGGCCTACTTTAGTTACTTGGCGTGCTTGACTGTCTTGGCTTAATTTTGTGTCTTGGCCTACTTCAGTAACCTGGCGTGCTTGAGTGTCTTGGCCTACTTCAGTAACTTGGCGTGCTTGAGTGTCTTGGCCTACTTTAGTTACTTGGCGCACTTGAGTGTCTTGGCTTACTTCAGTAACTTGGCGTACTTGAGTGTCTTGGCCTACTTTTGTGTCTTGGCCTACTCCAGTAACTTGGCGTACTTGAGTGTCTTGGCCTACTTTTGTGTCTTGGCCTACTTCAGTTACTTGGCGTAGGCTTACTTTTGTGTCTTCGCCTACTTCAGTAACTTAGCGTACTTGAGTGTCTTGGCCTACTTCAGTTACTTTGCGTACTTGAGTGTCTTGGCCTACTTCAGTTACTTGGCGTGCCGGCTTGAGTGTCTTGGCCTACTTCAGTTACTTGGCGTACTTGAGTGTCTTGGCTTATTTACTTTTGTGTCTTGGCCTACTCCAGTAACTTAGCGTACTTGAGTGTCTTGGCCTACTTCAGTTACTTGGCGTGCTTGAGTGTCTTGGCCTACTTCAGTTACTTGGCGTGCTTGAGTGTCTTGGCCTACTTTTGTGTCTTGGCCTACTTCAGTAACCTGGCGTGCTTGAGTGTCTTGGCCTACTTCAGTAACTTAGCGTACTTGAGTGTCTTGGCCTACTTCAGTTACTTGCCGTACTTGAGTGTCTTGGCTTACTTCAGTAACTTGGCGTGCTTGAGTGTCTTGGCCTACTTCAGTTACTTGGCGTGCTTGAGTGTCTTGGCCTACTTTTGTGTCTTGGCCTACTTCAGTTACTTGGCGTACTTTTGTGTCTTGGCCTACTTCAGTTACTTGGCGTACTTGGGTGTCTTGGCTTACTTTTGTGTCTTGGCCTACTTTAGTTACTTGGCGTACTTGAGTGTCTTGGCCTACTTTTGTGTCTTGGCCTACTTTAGTTACTTGGCGTACTTGAGTGTCTTGGCCTACTTTTGTGTCTTGGCCTACTTCAGTTACTTGGCGTACTTGAGTGTCTTGGCTTACTTTTGTGTCTTGGCCTACCCCAGTAACTTAGCGTTCTTGAGTGTCTTGGCCTACTTCAGTTACTTGGCGTGCTTGAGTGTCTTGGCCTACTTCAGTTACTTGGCGTACTTGAGTGTCTTGGCCTACTTCAGAAACTTGGCGTGCTTGAGTGTCTTGCCTTACTTCTGTGTCTTGGCCTACTTCAGTTACTTGGCGTGCTTGAGTGTCTTGGCCTACTTCAGTTACTTGGCGTGCTTAAGGCAGTTGGCTTACTTAAATGTCTTGGCCTACTTAGTATCTTGGCCTTCTTCAGTTACTTGGCGTACTTGAGTGTCTTGGGTTACTTTTGTGTCGTTACCTACTTCAGTAACTTGGCGTGCTTGAGAGTCTTGGCTTAATTTTGTGTTTTGGATTGCTTGGATTGATCGGCACACTGACACATAGAAACTCAGATACTACTTCTGGGTTGTTCAGTCCGGATATTTACAAAAACAAAGATTGGAATATTCTCATCCCGTTTGCGTTGAAATATTAGAGCGCTTGTTAGCCGTTTAGAAAACACAATGAAAAATCGACGGACTTTTTATCCTGTTTGAACTACACTCGCGAAGAATTTAATGTGTGCACCGTATTTCCTCTAATAATAGCCGTCCCTCGATTAATCGCGTCCCTCGAATAATCGCCCCCCTTTGATGGAAATATTTAAGATAATCGCCTCCCTGAACTAATCGCTTGTTACCCCTCTCGCCATCTTCTCCTTTTTTTTATCCCCTTCCTGTCAAGTGGAAGTAGAATCTGATCCAGCGAAACTGGTCAGTAATAATAATAAAAATAATAATAATAGTAATAATAATAATAATAATAATAATGAAATAAAAAGATATATATGTACAGCAATAAACTAAAATAATAACAGTTTAAAAATAATAATAATTTATATATACTACATAAGTATAGAACTTATAGAGATCTTGCATTTATGGACCTACTGACTTAAATATCGATCGATTCGTTGCCTTTGTCTCGCATGACCACTCTTGTTCTCAGAATCCTGCCCTTATGTTAAAAACTGCCCATTGTAAAACCACTACTTTTCAGGCCTCTTTTTTAATCGGATTGTAAAACCCAGGAACACTATTTGCAGTCTAGCTTCTTTCGACAGTTTCCCGTGCCACCGATCTTTTTTTTTTTACACTTTCATTACTGTCTTTTGCATATTTCCATTATACTTCACCGTTTCACTATTACATTTTAGCTCCCGTTTTAAGACAATAAATTTATTGTTTTTTTTTGGGAGGGATTTACTTAGCTTGGGGTGGCGCCCCGCATGGGTCACGTGACCCGTTCGTGCTATAGACTTCTTCAGCTTGTATGTTTTGTTTTCCCAAATAGTAGAGGTCCCAGGGAACTTTACGCTTTGTCTTTTCATAAATTATGTGTAGATATGCACGTGAATTAGACAAAATTTGAAAGAAAAAGTTCTCTGGGATATTATCACATGACCTGTATTGGGAAAACAAAACATGCAAGCAAAACAGGTTTATTCCCTACTGGTCTCTATCATGCTAGCATTTGGTCTCCTTCATGCTAGTATTTGTCTTGTTTTTATTTATTAATTTGTTATTACTGGACCAATAAACTTGTTTTAAAAAAGGGTGCATTCCGACCCACCTTTGTCTACCAATAGTCCCGGGTCAGGTAGTTAGGTATATTTATGCTGGGTATGTGCTGCTGGCCTCTCAGAACCCCAACCCCATTATAATCTATTCTGTGGCCAATTATAGACCCTATCTTATTAGTCACTTTTTTGCAAAGAGGTTATTCTCGCGATTCCAATTTATTTCACTACTTTATATTAAATGAAAAGCACTTTACTTTTCACCTACAGTACAAACATTCTGGTTACCGTTGCTAACCTTAAAATTAGGGAGCTTTAGCATCGACGAGGGCAACGGCACTTTTAAAATGAATTCCCGTTTTTTCAATCTTCGTCGCGTTCATTCCAATTTGTTGAAAATGGCAAGTGTACGCGAATTTCCCTGGAGTTGATTTCTTGAGGACCGCACTCAAGTTTAGAGAGAGAAAAAGAGATTCGTCGTCGTTTGTTTACCTCCTGCATAAAACTTTTAATTAGGCATTTTCACGTCGTAGTCGTGCAAGGACGGTAAAGAAATGTACAAAAAAGCGTGATGCACGTGCAAAGTTGTTGTTTTGTGCGTAATAAACCTATTGCTGCCCATTCTACCAGATTATCATACTATCGCGACCATCTGTTCTCACGAAAATGCTGAAATTAAATGTTCTGTTTGTATTTTACGCGGTGATAAAAACATACCATTAAACCAACAAGGGGACGAAATGGTACCGAAGAAAAACAACAATAATCTTTATGTTGCAAACTCTTTATACATATAAAAAAGATTCTTTCACTTAGAAAAATAGCAAAGCGTCAAAAAGGGAAGTGATAAGCTGATAAATTACTGACTGAAATTGTCTAGCTAACGAGACTATTTAGCAATTGTTCCTCGAGCCCGAATGGGCTCTGAGTCAATAGCCCACGAGGCCGAAGGCCGAATGGGCTATTGACTCAGAGGACATACAGCCTAGTAGTAGCTCAACCAATCAGAACGCAGCATTGATAATAGACCACTGGTTGGATGTTACTAAATTAAGTTACCTACTTAGCCCCTAGCTAAGTAAAGATAAATTTTAAAAATCAACGCTTCAACACTCCCTTCCTACAATGGACTCTGAGCATTTTGTATGGACAAAATTCTTATACATTTCTTCTAAAAAAAACCTCTCTAGTCTCTGCATAGTACCCTTCGATACAACACTGACACAGTCTTTAGTACAACGCTAAATGACAAATACACACATTAAATTCTTCGCGAGTGGAGTTCACACAGGATCAAGAGGCTGTCGATTTTACATCGCGCTTTCAAAACGGCTAGCAAACGCTCTAACAGGTCAAAGTAATGGAATGAGAATATTCTAATCTTTCTTTGTATAAAAATTCGGACTGAACCGAGGAGTAGTAACTGTGTTTTTAAATCAGAGTGTGCCACTACATTCTTGAACCTCTCGCCAGAGTATCACTTCATCCACGAACGGAAATAATGGGGGTGCAAAGGACTCGTTTGTCAAATATCCAACCATCTTGAATTAATTGTTGGTAATTTCAAACAACTAATATTCTTGAAATTAAAATTAGTGTCCAATAAATGACTGGCTCCTATGATGTCAAGTAACTTAGTAAGACACGTATCTCGAGCACTCCAAATCACTTAACCAACTCAAGCACGTGAAAAAAGCAAGCAAATCACTTAAGAATCGCAAAAGTTGCGTCTATAACTGAGATGATATTCTTTCATATAAATCAAATCACTCAAGTTACCCAGGGAAGTCAAACGTACAAAGCGCTACGAACAATTAAATTAAATTAAACTGAACTACGCCAAGCCAGTAAATCAAGTCACTGAGGTAACTCAAGACTGCCAAGAAACCAATCTAAAATATAGCAAGACAAGCAACTCATATAGTTCAAGAAACGTAAGTCAAGTACCGCAAGTACGCCAAGTAACTGAAGTTAAGGCCAAGACACAAAAGTAAGCCAACACACTCAAGCACGCCAAATAACTGAAGTAGGCCAACACACTTAAGTAGGCCAACACACTCAAGCACGCTAAGTAACTGAAGTAGGCCAAGACACTTAAGTAGACCAACACACTCAAGCACGCTAAGTAACTGAAGTAGGCCAAGACACAAAAGTAAGCCAAGTACCTCAAGCACGCCAAGTAACTGAAGTAGGCCAAGACACTTAAGTAAGCCAAGACACTCAAGCACGCTAAGTAACTGAAGTAGGCCAAGACACTTAAGTAGGCCAACACACTCAAGCACGCTAAGTAACTGAAGTAGGCCAAGACACTCAAGCAACCCACGACACAAAAGTAAGCCAAGTACCCCAGTCACGCCAAGTGACTGAAGTAGGCCAAGACACAAAAGTAAGCCAAGACACTCAAGCACGCCAAATAACTGAAGTAGGCCAAGACATTTAAGTAAGCCAAGACACTCAAGCACGTCAAATAACTAAAGTAGGCCAAGACACTCAAGTACGCCAAGTGACTGAAGTAGGCCAAGACACAAAAGTAAGCCAAGACACTCAAGCACGCCAAATAACTGAAGTAGGCCAAGACATTTAAGTAAGCCAAGACACTCAAGCACGCCAAATAACTAAAGTAGGCCAAGACACTCAAGTACGCCAAGTAACTGAAGTAGGCCAAGACATTTAAGTAAGCCAAGACGCTCAAGTAATTGAAGTAGGTAGGCCAAGACACTCGCGCAATACAAGACAAACAAGTAAGCCAAATACCTCAACCACGTCAAGTAACTGAAGTAGGCCAAGACACTCAAGTGCGCCAAGTAAATGAAGTAGACCAAGACACTCAGGCACGCCAAGTAAGACACAAAAGTAAGCCAAATACCTCAAGCACGCCAAGTTACTGGAGTAGGCCAAGACACAAAAGTAGGCCAAGACACTCAAGCACGCCAAGTAACTGAAGTAAGCAAAGTACCTCAAGTACGCCAAGTAACTAAAGTTGGCCAAGACACTCAAGTACGCCAAGTTACTGAAGTAGGCCAAGACACTCAAGCACGCCAAGTTACTGAAGTAAGCCAAGACACTCAAGTACGGCAAGTTACTGAAGTAGGCCAACACACTCAAGTAGGCCAAGTAACTAAAGTAGGCCAAGACACTCAAGCACGCCAAGTTACTGAAGTAAGCCAAGACACTCAAGTACGGCAAGTTACTGAAGTAGGCCAAGACACTCAAGCACGCCAAATTACTGAAGTAGGCCAAGACACTCAAGTACGGCAAGTTACTGATGTAGGCCAAGACACTCAAGTACGCCAAGTAACTAAAGTAGGCCAAGACACTCAAGCAAGCCAAGTTACTGAAGTAGGCCAACACACTCAAGTACGCCAAGTAACTAAAGTAGGCCAAGACACTCAAGTACGCCAAGTAACTAAATTAGGCCAAGACACTCAAGTACGCCAAGTTACTGAAGTAGGCCAAGACACTCAAGCACGCCAAGTTACTGAAGTAGGCCAAGACACTCAAGTACGCCAAGTTACTGAAGCATGAAGTAGCAGAAGTAGGCCAAGACACTCAAGTACGCCAAGTAACTAAAGTTGGCCAAGACACTCAAGCACGCCAAGTTACTGAAGTAAGCAAAGTACCTAAAGTACGCCAAGTACCTCGGTACACCAGAAGTAGAAAGAGTGCAGTATAAGAATCTATATATCGGTACACTATGGGAATCATATATGAAGTACCTACTGAAATGACTGAAGTAGATGGTGTAGTCCCGATCCGCTGCCCACTACTATTGATGTAAGACTGCCCAGGTGCAACTGTAGATTAGAAGTAGATGTTGTTGGTGTAGTAGACTGTAGTATCTGTAATAGCTGTAGCAATATTTTCTAGCTTTTACCGACCTCCTCTGTTCTTATGACTCTGGTGTCCCTTGCTCATTTGCACAAAATTGACTCGAGGCTATCAGGGGCACCCAAAGACTGTTTTGTGTAAAATATCTGTTCGGAGAAGCAAATATTGCCTAGAATTTTCTTTTGCTTGAGGAAGACTAAAAATTTCTAGATGGACCTTCCAATCATAAACAATTTTCAATCTTTATACCTAATAAATTCCCTACGAATGTCTGATTTTTAATGTTTCAAAATCACTTCTTAGGTTACAATATTTTTCTTAAAAAATGGTCACCTAAATTTTCGGATTCTAAAATGTGATGGAGAGAGGAACCAGAAAAATTCTCACTTTCGTAAAACGTTAAATTGCGACTAAAATTTCGGAAAAGTAACACTAAAGCCCTTGTAATTTCGAAAACTGACCTAAGTTCCTCTAGGATGACCGTTAGCTTGTAGGGCTTTCCACAAGTTGTTCGAGATTTTCCAAAAAGCTTCCCATAATTTCTCAAAAGAATGCTCAAAAGTTGCCAAAAACAATCAAAAGTTGCTTTTTGCAACAAAACGTACTCAAAAGTTGGTCGAAAAAACAAAAACTTTGTTTGGTCTGAAGTTATGAAAATATGCAAATTGTACAAACAAAAGTAAGTTTTTGTAGCATTTTTGTGCAATTTTTCGGCGCGACCAGCGTTGCTTCATAACTTTGTCCTGAGTTAAAACCACGAAAGAAATGTAATGAGCCAAAAAAAATGTTTAATGACTTTCTTCACCTGAGACACTCAAGTCAGTTGAGAGTGAGAATCTTTCAATTGTCAGCCATTTAGAATTTTCTGTAAACACCGCTGAGCTATCCTGCGCCCATAATGTGCCCCAGGGGAGAACGATTTGTCTCCTTTTTTACTGGAAATTCACAAATTGTCTATAAAATATTGTGAAATATGGAACAAAGGCCAATTTAAACACCAAGAGATGCTCCGATATCACAGAATTAGAAGATAACTAGAGAAATCAAAATGCCAAAAGTTGCAAGAAACGAAAAAAGTTGCTCGAAATACGAGAAGTTGCCTAAAAGTTGCCGAGCAACTTGCGGAAAACCCTAATGACCGAACCGATAACAATTTTGTAGTGCCGCTTAGAATGCATTTCTAGAGTGCAGAAAAGAAAACTCTGGATAGCCTAAAAAGTGTTTTCAACGTATTTTGGAGGAGACCGTCGTTGGGTGCCCCTGACGCTTTTACCCTTTACTATGTGACATTACATTACTACAGATACTACACCTACTACAGATACTACAGGTACTACACCTACTACAGGTACTACACCTGCTGCAGATACTACAGATACTACACCTACTACAGCTACTACACCTACTACAGACACTACAGATACTACACCTACTACAGCTACTATACCTACTACAGATACTACACCTACTACATCTACTACAGATACTACAGCTACTAGACCTACTACAGATGCTACAGCTACTACAGACACTACAGATACTACAGCTACTATAGATACTACAGATACTACACCTACTACAGATACTACAGCTACTACAGATGCTACAGATACTACTGTTATATGCTACTGCGCCAACTACAGCTATCTACTACGGTTGCTGTTCAGTTGGTCACAATCTACTACGGTTACTGTTCAGTTGCAGTATTGGGCAGTGGCTCGGGAAATTTTGGATAGTCTTACACCAAGTAGTACCCTCCCGTCGACTTCCTCTCACTTGATCGCTCGAAGCGAGGATGTCATATTTGAGTTACTTTGAGTTATAAAACGCTCAATATTGTCGTTTCCAGTTTATATCACTAAAAAAAAGGTTCAATCTGTAATAGACTCAGCTGTATTGCATTGAACGACGTGGCTTATGGTCTTCCCAAGGAACGCTGGTTTCGGTCGATGTTATTTAGTGTCAACACGTCACGAAATCCTATCTAAAATCGACCGAAACCTAACCGGAACTCAGCTGCGGCTACAAAAAAAACGAAATAAAATAAATCCCGCGAGAGTGCGAATCCCATCCCAGTTTTATTCTGTCATTTGAGTCTCAAACAGTAGTTTTCCAGCTTTTCGACTTTCACCTAAGAAAGTTTAAGAAGTTCATAATAAAAAAAAGTTCTACTTCCACAATCACATGCTAACATTGGCGCCAAATCTAAAATTTTCCAACTGAGAATACTCTGTGAAGGACAATGGCGGAAGAAGAATGCACTTTTTTTGTGCACTTTTTATTTGAGTGTCAATGTATTTAGCACAAAAGTACTAATTGGGGACACTATATTTTACGTCTCCAACTGGAGACGGGACCGCCATTTTACGTGGTCATCCGAGCCACGCGAAGGTCTAGCCTGTTGCAGTGCAAAGGGAGTACCTTCATTTCTCGGTTATTTTAAGACCCTGAGTATTGGCCCGGCCCCAGGAATCGAACCCGCGACCTACCGCTCTGCAGTCAACATGCTCTACCGACTGAGCTAACACTGCCGCGAGACAACGTGGTTATCTCTAGTTGTTTAAGTCGCATACGATCCATATTCAGGATATATAAGCCTAGGAGCCTATTTTAAAAAGCGTATGCCACTACTACCCGTTTAGCCGTTTTATGATATTTAATTTACTGCGCTTTTCACAAACACGCGAACTCAAATTCAAAAGCCGCCTTCACAATTGCGTTTTTTTCTCCTCAGATGAAGCCTTGCAAATCGGTGGATTATTTCATGAAGGTCAGTTTCCATATTGTAGTGGATATGAGGTAAGGCGAGTCCAACATTTTCCAGATTTCAACTTGGAAAGCATTTTTATTACTAAAAATATATTTATTATGAAAAATCCGAATGATTTCGGTAAAAGGGTGGAAACCGGTGTGGATCCGTGCCTGCCCAATTGTCCTCTTGGTGAATCTCCAACAACTAGCCATTGTCAAGTTGAATGTTGGCATGTCTGATTGTGAAAGTAGAACTTTTTTTATTATAAACATCTTAAAATTTCTTAGGCGAAAGTCGAAAAGCTGGAAAGCTGTTTGAGACCCAAATGACAGCAATAAAACTGGGATGGAACTCGCACTCTCGCGGGATTTATTTTATTTCGGTTTTTTCGTAGCCGAATTTAATTCAGTCGAATAGAACGGCTGTTGCCGAAAACAAAACACAAAAATAAAGAAACGGTTTAGCAAACTTTTAAATATATTCTAATGTATTTATAATTTATGGATTGAGTTCGGCACTGCAGCAGCACGACGTTTGAAATTAAGTCGAGCTACTGCCGTGTAGCACGGCAAGGCTTGGCGTGCAACACGGCAGTAGCACGACTTGGTTTCAAACGTTGAGCTACTGCCGTGCTAAAGTCGAATTCAAATCGATCAATTTAGTTCGGCACGGCAGTAGCACGACGTTTGAAACGGGCCTTAGTCAAACATTTCCGGAATTTCCGGTTCGGCGGTAAATGGAACACGTTTCGTAGGTTCGTCCCACTGGAAAATTCCCAGAAAAAGTGGAAAATCTAAAAAGGTGGGCCCGTTTTCCCGGCTGGAATTTCCGAACGGAATTTCGTGTTCCATTTACACGTTTCTCGTAGTTTGTACCAGTTCCAGGTCCACGGCAAGAAAATCTGTCACGATTACTTAGCGAATCAAAATGGCTTCCCTCGAGCTGATGTATCAACGCACGGTTTGTTTTTTTGCTGGCCCCACAATGGAGGCACTTTTGCACCTTTAGTTCCCTGGCCTTGGATTAATTGGTAAGTATCTAGTAATGAGTAATAGCAAGAGAGGATAAAGGGGACAGAGAAGGCATCCTCCATACACACCCTATTCCATAGGTAATTCGTCTCGAGGTATTTTTAAGACCACAGATCCTAAGGAGGATTAGACAATAGCCAATCACATAGCGCGAATGTGTTCCGCGTGGATGACCCACGCTCAGAGCCACGCGTCCTTCACGAATTGAGGCAGAAAAAAATGGCGGAAGACGCGGAGAGCGATATTGCTATTCGTTTTGTCGACGAAAACGACTAAAGAGAGATTTCTGCTAAAGCTGTGTCAGCAAAACGGAAATTAAAAAAGAATCGCCCTTCCTCTCTTGTATAGAGCTAACAGTACAGCAGCGAAATCCTTAACACAGTGAATATTCTCTCAGGATCATTTATAATTTACAGTTTGAAGAGAGCAATTTCTGGTTTGATATTTATTCTTTTATTAGTCTTTTATTATTCAACAAAAATAACACTTGGCGTCCTATAATAATAATAATAACTTAATAACTTCTAGAGCGCTATTTACATTCATTGATCAACAGCGCTTAACAACTTAAAAAAACTACAATAAAATTCAAATTTGTAAAACTAATTACATGTACCTGAATATTACTTGCTACTTGCTTTATTGTGTTACGATAACTTCGAGTTAAACTGATTTCGCGGGTTGTCAAAGAGTCAAGCGATTCCCTTTTCCCAGGTGAGCGCCGACTCATTTCGCTTCAATATTCAGAAATGCTCTCGATCACTTTACGCTTTCATTGCCTTTCGCCCGACATGTTTTGCATGGCGTTTAGTCATGCAAAACCTCCACGAAACATCCACGGAGCGCGCAATGTAACTTTATCCCGATTCTAAAAATAACTCGAGACGAATTACCTATGGAATAGGGTGTATATGGGGGATGCCTTCTCTGTCCCCTTTATCCTCTCTTGGTAATAGCAATATTTATTTGAAGGTTCATATTCACTGAATAGAATCGTCGGGCACCGCGACGTACCGGGGT